GAAATACGGGAAATTCTTTATCGTTTTGTTTACGCACTCTTTAAAAAGCACGTTTCGCGCTTGTTATTTTTGCTGTGTGAAATAACGCAGATTGTAAAAAATGGTTCCTTGTGGGCCGCTGTGGGCAGGGGAACACGTTCGCCCGGACATTGGCACGCTTTCCTCGCGGCACGCGGGGCGCGAGGCGGGGGCGTGAGGTGGGGCGAGGCGGGGCGGCACACTGCAAGGGAGGCGCGCGGAATTTGAAAACAAGCGGCGCGCCTTTTTTGCGCCCCGCAGCAGTCAAGGTCGACCGCGGTTCGGTAACGCAGCGCAACACGGACCGAAACGAGTTTACGTGATTCCGCGGCGAGCTCGCAGGCAGGCAGGCAGGCAGGCAGGCAGGCAGGCAGGCAGGCAGGCAGGCAGGCAGCCCGGCAAGGCGGCGGCAGGCACCAGGCCCGGCCAGGCAGGCAGGCAGCCGCAGGCAGGCAGGCAGGCAGGCAGCCAGGCAGCCAGGCAGGCAGGCAGCCGGCCCCTTGCACACAATGTGCCCGGCCATCTCCGAGCACGGCGTAATTCAGTGTCGCTGCGGCGCCCTGCACCTTTGCTGTGGATGTGTGGCGCCCTCTGGACGCTCACGGCGGCGCCAGCGCGCGGCGCAAACTCCCTCGCCGCCGAAGCCTTATCGAATCATCCTCGAAAGATATCACAAATATTTTCTCTGCGTTCGCTTCGTCTGCCTAGTTTAACGGCCGCGCGCCGCTCCGGTGTGTGCCGAGCGAAGCCAGCGCGGAGAGGCGGTCAGAATCCCGGACGCGTTTTGAGCTCCGTCGCTAAAAGGGACTTGAACCAAACGTGTGACCCTAATGGATTGCTCTCCGAACGAGGAATTTTTTGATGGGGTCACACGCTCGGTCCGAGTCCTGCTTAGCGACTGAGAAGCTCAAAACGCTTCCAGAGTTTTGGCCGTCCGCCCCGGTCTTCTGGCCCACTGTTCGGTGGCGGAAATCGGTTGATGATTTCGTCCCGTGTTCGCTCGGGCCGATAAATAAGGGATAAGAATGGGCGGGAATATGGGGTTCATAAATCAGTGGTGGAAGAAGGGCAGGCCGAGGAGCGCCGAGGGCGGTGGGCCGGACGTCGGAGTGGACCATCCTCCATCCCTTTGAGAAAAAAAACATTCCCCTAGGGGTCTACACCGGTCTGCAGACTGATTCCGAGAGTCGTTTTCGTCGTTCTAGTCTCTCTCGCACTCATGGGACGTCCCCGAATATGTGCGAGAGAGACAGAGCGACGAAAGTGACTCTCAGAATGAGTCTGCAGGGCGGGTCTGGGCTGCGCCCGGCTAAGCACACTGGCTGCGCCGTGGCCCGGCCCGCTCTCACCTCCTGGCGCGCTACTACTATTGACCCTAGACACCCTCCCTCCCTCCCCGGGGCAGCGGCAGGCAGCGGCGCCGGCCGCCAGGTCACCAAAAGCCCGCCGCCCCCGCGTGTGGGGCCCACACTGTGGAGCCCATACTGTGGAGCCCATACTGTGGAGCCCACACCGTGGGACCCACACTGTGGAGCCCACACCGTGGGACCCACACCATGGGGCCCGGCAGACTGATTCCGAGAGTCGTTTTCGTCGCTGCGTCTCTCTCGCACCTATACGAGACGCCACGTGAATGCGAGGGAGACGATGAGACGAAAAAGACTCTCGGAATGAGGCTGCTGCATGGCCGGCCCGCAGTCCGAATTGGCGCGTTCGGAAGAGAGGCGTCGTCGAGCGAGAACCGCTCCAACAAACTGACGTACTTTACGAGTTTTGAAGCAGATTAATGCCCAACTTGCAGTGCAGCCGCCGCCTATTATTGGGGATGAAGTACGAGGGTGCATTTTGGGATATTCCCCGACCGCACCGCCGGAGAGGGCCTCTCCACGCTGCCTCTCTAGACTGCCTCTCTAGACCGCCTCTCCAGGCTGCCTCTCCAGGACCCCGTCCTCCAGCCGCGGCGCGCGACCCAATAAAACTTTGAGCGCGGCGCGGCACGGCGCTACTTATGAAGCGTCTGAGCGATGAGGAAGGGGCTGGGCTAGGCTGGGCGCGGGGAGTCTTCTTGGCCCCGCGGAGGAGCGAGGAACGTGTCGTCCCGACACTTTTCCTCTCAAATAGTTTACATGATGAACACAAGCTCGCGCCGCGGGCCAGAGCCTCGGCAGCCAGACAGGCAGCCCGCCAGACAGGCAGCCAGCCAGGCAGCCACGAACGACGATTATTCTGAGTAGGGACTCTGGAGCTTAAAACGCGTCTGGACTTTCGGGTGCCTCCGCCGGTCTTCTGGCCCACTGTGTACTCCTCCCTACCGCGCGATGGGTGTACCCCCACTCCCCGGCCGGCCTCGCTACCGGGGTACAACTGTCGCCAGTGTGTCAACACGGCGACTGACTGTCTAATTAGCGGAGCCAATCACAGAGCGCGACGGCCAGACAAACACACGGGGCAGTCTTGTGGCGTGACACGCAACTGGTGGCACCTCTTGCTCCTCCCGGCCCCGGCCCCTCCACACACGTACTCTCTCTCTCTCTCTCTCTCTCTCTCTCTCTCTCTCTCTCTCTCTCTCTCTCTCTCTCTCTCTCTCTCTCTCTCTCTCTCTCTCTCTCTCTCTCTCTCTCTCTCTCTCTCTCTCTCTCTCTCTCTCTCCGTGTTTTTGCCGCAGCGGCGTGCCGCTGGGTGGGCCAGGCGCTGGCGTCGCCTTGCGCTGCGGCGTCGGCAGGGCGGCCTTCTGAACATTCTGAAGCGGCAAGGCAGCCCACTTGCACGCTCTGAATATGCAAAGCTGCGGCGGGGCTGCCGTAGGCTGCCGGCCCTGCTGGTGGCGGCCGAGGCACACTGGTGTGCGGTCGGACTGGTTGCACGGACGGACGGGCGGACAGACGGGCACGCACACAGGCACACTGCCAGGAACCCGTACACGGAGTACATCACCTACACACACACCTACACACACACACCTACCCACACACTAACACACACACAGGCCCAGGCCACTGCTCACTCAGTCATTTGCCAGAGTATCGCGACGCAGGGGTTAAGCTGTGTCCGATGCGCACGCCGTGGCGCCACGGTGCCGAGGCGTCCGGTACGGTCCGGATGATATGCAAATGCGTGCTGGACGTGCGGGGACGCGATCGGACGCGGCGCCGCCTGCCGCCGGACGCGTGGCGCGGAGCGCGTGGAGCCGTTTGGGGGAAAAAAAAACATCTAAAACAACAACAACAACAGCACGACGGTGGTCCGAGCCACCGTGCGGTTTAATACGAGGCGAAATGAGGCGCTTCCAATGCAAGGCGGGGCCCGGCGGTGATATTGTGCCGGGAGGGGGAAGTTTGACGGGCGGGGATGGATGGGGGGAACTTGGCGGCGGCGGCGGCCACGCACGCCGTGGGGCCGTCAGGGCGCGTGCTGCTGCAAGCATCAGCACGAGTCCGCGAGAGTCGTCGCTCTGTCTCTCTCGCACTCATGGGGCGCGCCGTAGAGGTGTGACAGAGACGGAGCGATGGAATTAGGACTCTCGGAAAGAGGCTGCTGCACGGCCTCGGCCTCGCTCGACCAGCGCGGTGTGTCTTAACCGCGACGATGGTCCAGCAGGCTGGTTCCGTGGGGCCGTCTCTCTGTCTCTGTCCCACTCACAGGGCGCTCCGCCGGGTTGCGAGAAAGACCCGACCCTTCGGCAACGCTCGCGGTGCGCGGCGGCACACTGTGCGGGGGCACACTGTGCGGCGCGGCACACTGTGCGGCGGCACGGCGGGGATACGGAATGACACGGCGGAGAGAGTGAAGCGGAGCGTGCGGCCTCGAGGTGCAGACTGAATCCGAGAGTCGTTTTCGTCGCTCTGTCTCTCTCGCACTCATGGGGACGTTCCAAGTGTGCGAGAGAGACAGAGCGACGGAAACGATTCTCGGAATCAGTCTGCGGAGCCCGCCAAGTTTCCAGTGGTGCGCCGCTCCGTCTGGGAAAGAAAGGGAAATACAGGGGTGGGCGGCGGAGAGGAGAGCAGAGAGAGAGAGAGAGAGAGAGAGAGAGAGAGAGAGAGAGAGGAGAGAGAGAGAGCAGAGAGGGAGAGCGGGCAGGCAGATGGGCCGAATTGAATTTGGTATGCTGAGTGGGGGCCATACCTTCCCGCCCGCGCCGCACCGCGCCGCACCGCCGGCCGGGCTAACCGGTCAGGCTAATTGTGAGTCATTCTGAAAAGGCAGCGGCCGCCGTGCGCCACTTCCGGTCGACGTTAATCAAAGCGCGCCCCGCAGACTGATTCCGAGAGCCGTTTTCGGCGCTCTGTCTCTCTCCCACTCATGGGAGTGTTCTACAGGTGCGAGCGAGACGGAGCGACGAGAACGACTCTCGGAATCAGCCTGCTGCTTCGCGCGGCCCAGCACCGCTCGGTGATCGATGAATCCTTAGCAGGCCTCACCGGGAGCGAGGCCAGCAAGGGCAGGACGGGCAGGAGGCTGCCACCCTGCTGTATATACAGTGCGAGTCAATACTGGTGATTGCCCCGTAGCTGTTCTAATTGAAGGAGCGTGACGTCATCAGCATGTGGCCTCAGCCTATGGCCTCAGCCTATGGCCTCAGCCTATGGCCTCAGCCTATGGCCTCAGCCTATGGCACAGCCTATGGCCTCAGCCTATGGCCAGCCTATGGCCTCAGCCTATGGGCACAGCCTATGGCCTCAGCCTATGGCCTCAGACTATATCCTCAGCTCACAGCCTCAGCCAATCACCTCAGCCTGTGGCCTCTGCATTAGCCTCAGCACACGTCCTCAGCCTGCAGTGGCGGAGATAGGCAGTCCCGCGATGCAGCCAGGCCGCGCGGGTAGTATACGCTCGACTTCACAGGCGCTCGACTTGCCGGAACTCTGCTACCGACCTTGTTGTTGTCATTGTTATGTTGACATGCTGCTTTGTGGATGGCTTTTGCTAATTTCTTTTTGTCTTGTTTTTTTGTTCCATGTGCTGCTTCCTTCGGCGTGCAGAGCTCAGTTAGAGTGAGTACAGTGCTTGCACAGCCTTACGAAGAAATTCCTCATAGCGCGAAGAAAATGGCGCAAGTACGATAGGAATGTAATTCTACTAGAAATGAAGGATTTTATTTGAATCCTTCGTTGAAAATGAAAACCAGTTCAGGAAATCTGCTGTTTTATCGACTGCCAACCTGGGACAGTAGTCATGTGATAACAGTTTTGGAGGTTAACTTTGGACACGTTGTTTTGAGCGAGCGGAGCTGCCACCACAGAAAATAGTTCCAAAACAAATTCATTGATCGTCTAAGTTTCGAAAAGCCTGAAAACGAAAAGACATGAAACGATTGGACCTGGTCGAGACAGGCAATACTCACTATGACGTGTCGAAAGTTAGGACCGCAGTCCAAAGTTGGAGCATATCTAACGCAGCATTTCACTCGCACCGAAACCATCACGATTATGGCTTCAATTCCACTGTTAAACGTCAAGAGAGCGAAGTTTCCGGCTCGTTCGTTCGGTGCTCTGGCGAGCCGACGACGATTGAGTCGGCCAAGACGGCGTGAGCTAATTCGGACCGGTCGGCTGTTCGGCCTTTCCATGGGAGTAATCTGCCAAATGTTTTCGTTATAGAATTAAGTCGCCCCAGTTTCGACTTCGTTAACTCGTCCCCGCGGGCAGCAATTAGACGGCCAGAGACACGCCGTGCCTCGCCGCATTCACGGCCTCTCCTTTTCCTTTTTAGTTTGGTTTTGCTCTACTTGCATTTACGAGATATTTCGGCCCGTTCGCTCCATTCCCCTTACATTTACGCGTTTTTACAAAATAATTTGGCCCTCGTGAATTGTTTTAAATACCCGCAGAATGGGGAGCGCTACTGGTGTGGAAGAAAAATGTTCGCGATGCCCCGTGCCCAGGTTCTGGTCTTACACGGCTTCCTGGATTTCCCAGGTAGCCTAGAGATGTAGGCGATTTCCGGGAGAGAGTTCCTAGGAAAACCACGAACCGACGTTTATGCCGTGTACACTTTAAAAGTATTCATGTATTTCGGAGCGGGTCACGGTGAGTCAGAAGCGGGGGTCACTTTCCTCATCTCTGCCGAGAGTACCCCTTGAGAACCAGTGGTTTCGCCGCGGTGAAATCTCAACGACGCCGAGCCGTGCCGTGCCGAGCCGGGTCGTGCTGAGCTGTGCCGGGCCGTGCCGAGCCGAGCCGCACCGCGCCACGGCCTTGCTGCATTCTCTGAATGTCGCTGCGCCAAGTCTAACAAAGGCGGAGACGAGCCTCAGGCGAGCCCCAAAGGCGTTCCCTATGCAGGCTCGTGGCGGCCCGCGGCGTGTGAAGACGGAGAGGGGGGAGGGGGGCTGCAAAAAGAGAAGGAGGGGGCTGTGGAGCGTCCCAGGCCCGGCCTAGGCCTGGCGCAGACGTGTGAAGGGGTAAAAGTCTGCCTCGACAATGCCGGCCCATATCTCTCTGTGTTGTGTGGGGACGTCGTCTGCTGCGCCTCTCTTTTTTCCCCTCTCCTGCACGGCGGGGTGCTCGGCGTGCTGCCGGAGGGCGTGCGCCAATTAGCCCGATATTGGAGGGGCTCGAGAAGGCCTGATTGGCTCGCAGTGCAGTGCCACGGCATGCTGCTCGGATGCGGGTGCCGCGTGGGTTGCTGAATGCTCTTGCTCAATGCTGCTGCTGAACGACTACACAATGCTGCTCCTGAATGATGCTCCAGTCCGGAATGATGCTCCTGAATGGTGCTTCAGAATGATGTTCTAGAATGATGCTTCAGAATGATGCTCTGTAATGATGCTCTAGAAAGATGCTCTAGAAAGATGCTCTAGAAAGATGCCCCTGAATGATGCTCCTGAATGGGCTCCTGAATGATGCTCCAATGCTCCTGAATGATGCTCCAATGCTCCTGAATGATGCTCTAGAATGATGCTCCTGAATGCTTCGGCTGAGTGGTGCTCCTGAATGGATGCTGTTGATCGCGGTTGTTCAATGCTTATTGTTTTTGAAGGCCTGTTGTCTTTGTAGGCTGTTGTTTCTGTAGGCTGTTATTTATGAAGGCTGTTGTTGAATGCTGGTGTTATGCTGCGTATGCTGACTGCTGCCCCGGATTTCACGCCCTGGCCGCTGCAGCACGCTGCGGTGGTCCTCGCCTTATCTGTCCGCACATAATGGGCGGGCTCTACGGCACTGGAAGGGAAGGGCCGAAGCGGCGGCTAAAAGAAAAGACGCCAAACTGCGCGACCGAGGCGGCGGTGTTTGGACGAGAGCGTGCAGCTGCATGCTGGGCCCAGCGAGATGCCTTTCGCGTGTACGAGGTAATGCTGGGACAACACGCCGAAACCCACCACTGCCTACGACAACATCGTCAACAACAGCAATAACAACGAAAACAACAACAAAGACAACAACTTCTTCAGCGAGACGGGCGCAAGAAAAGAAAGTGGGCTGGAAATCATGTCCGTGCATTTGCATGGTAATGGTGCTGGGCGGCTGTGGACCGCAAAAGTGAGCAGACAGACGGACAGTCAGGTGCAGGCAAACAGACAGACGCAGACAGACAGGTGCGGGCGAACAGACAGGCGGACTAGACGAAGGACTAGGCGGCTTGGCAAAGACTCCGCTTGTTTACCACTAGTACGGTATGCAAATGATCACGTGGCTGAGACCCCTCACCTCTCCCCCCCCCCCCTCTTGTATTTTCCTTGCTTTCGCGAATTTCTCGGATCCGGCGAGCACTTTGGTGGTTTCAGCGGCGGCCCGAAACTTTGGGTCCGTTCGGTTTTCCAGGCGCGACAGCTGACAATTAAAGTTTGTGGAGCGCGTGGCGGCGCGGGTGTATTGTTTCTGTGTATGTTTGTGTGGGCGGGAAGGACGCGGTGCGTGGAGAGCGAGCGTGAGAGCGAGAGAGAAGATGCGTGAGAGCGACTGAGAGTGAGTGAGAGGGCGAGTATGATCCAAGACTGCCAACGCGGCCAGCTCCCTCGGAACGGTAACGCACTTCGTCTGCTTCAACAGTGCAAAATGGATTTTCGTCCGGCCCTCTTTCGCTTCGCCCTGCACTTGCGGGCACGGCCCTCCTCTCGCCCCAGGCCCCGCGGCTCCTCCGCCGGGCTCCGCGCACCGCCTTGCCAATTTCTCATCACGGCAACATGAGCGGAGCCTCCACCGCAAAAGGCGAAAAGGCCTGAAAGGCCCCAAAGGGAGCTCGGTATTGTCTCAGCAATTCCAAGTGTTGACCCTGCCCGCCCCGCCCCGCCCCGCTCCGCCCCGCCCCACCACACTGTCAAGAGGGCCTCTTCACTCGAATTACCATAACCGCATTGTCGTGTAGACACGCGCGAGGCCGCGAGGGCCTGCATTACACTTACACACACACACACACACACACACACACACACACACACACACACCACACACAACACGAGAACCTAATCAGTCCTCGCCAAAGGGGTTGATGAGCTTAAAGCACCCCGAGCCGCAAGGCACCGAAGCGCCCTTTTCGGGCCGCATCCTCTTGCCAGCAGGCCGATTCAGAGAGTCGCTGACGTCGCTCTGTCTCTCTCGCACTCTCAGGGCGTCCCGCATAGGTGTGAGAGAGACGGAGCGATGAGAACGACTCTCGGATTCGGTCTGCTGCCGGTGTGGTACACGGGCAGGCCGTGGTGCCGAGCCGGTTGCCAGCCAGCTCCTCGCGTTTCCGAGCCGGTGGCTGAATTTTTCATCGCTGATGCGCCTGCAACAAACGCGGAAAAGTCCGCCCGACCCGGAAGTTGATTATTTCCCGCTTGTTTTTTGCTCGTTTCGCTGCGCAGGCTGAGCGGGCCGCGCTGAACGTCAGTCCTGACGCGGCCACTATTCATCTTGGTGGCGTTCCACCACCTTGTTAGTTACAAGCTCAGCGACGCTTCCCAGCCGTGTGCCCCCTCCCCCCCTCTCTCCCTCTCTTTCTCTCTCACTCTCACTCTCTCTCTCTCGCTCCAATCCCTTGCAGCCCTTACTTCTCGACCGTCACTCGCCGTTTGCCTCCCTAATGTACCGGACTTTTATTGTAATTTTTATGAGTACTTTTCGCTGTTTGTTTCTTATTGTTGTTGTTTTTTCTCGAGTGGCGCGGAAATATTTCTATATTTGAATGAAGAAATATTGGGCGTCGTTACGGCGGTGCGGTCCTCGGTCCTCGGCCGCGGCGCCCTGCGAGAATGGGCCGGCTGTTTCACGCTATCTGTCGCTCTCCATCTCCCTCGTCTTTGTCTAGACGTTTGTATAATAATGCAGTCTGTATTCCGGGGGCCGTGGACGCGGCGGAACGCCGGGGAACGCGACGGCACGCCGTGAAATGGTGTCCGCGCGGAGGGCGCGGCGCGGCGGGGCGGGGCGGGGCGGGGCGGGGCGGGGCGGGCGGGGCCTGCACTGTGCCGGCCGCCATTGTCGCCTCCTAACTCCAGACGCGGCTAAGGGGGACTCCGACTCCCGCTCCGACGCTGCGGCTACTTCCAGCGACACTCCGTCCGGCACTGCACCATAGAGAGTCTCCGGCTGACACTGCGCTAGAAAGACTCCGGCCGACGCTGCGGTATAGAGGGGCCACTAGAGAGACTATCCGGCCAACACTGCACTACAGAGAGACTCCGGCCGACGATGCGCTAGAGAGGCCACTAGAGAGAGACTATCCGGCCGACACTGCGCTCGGGGGGCCACTAGAGAGACTCCAGCCAACGCTGCGCTAGAGAGGCCACTGTGTAGAGACTTCAGCTGACTTGCGCTAGAGAGGCCACTAGAGAGGTCACGAGGGGAGGGAGACGCCAGCCGACGCTGCGCTACGTGCGCCACACAAGAGGTCACGAGAGGGTTCTCCGGCAGACTCCGTCCTAGAGAGGCCACTAGAGAGACTCCGGCCGTGGCTGCGCTAGAGGGGGCACTACAGAGACTGAGAGGAAGAGAGTCGTCAGGGGCGCGACTCGGCAGGAGGAGCCCTGTGGTTGGCGGGCTCCGCACTTTCCCGGCATGCCCCAGGCGCCAAG